CCGCTGACCTCAGAGTGTTTTGTAAGAAGGCTAACAAGCGTAAACTTCGTGGTTGGTGGGTGCCTCAGGGTTGGTCCACCTGTTTTGCCGTTTGCTCCATGCCGCCTTCGAAGCGCTCCCCTTGGGAGACGTCTCCTGGCGGCGCTGGGCTCTACCTTGCCGATCTGGGTGAATTGACTCTGCCTGATGAATACGGAGCAGATGAGATTGAATCCATCCCTATTGACGAAGCTTCTCCGACCTCCATTGGATATGCTCTAATAATAACAAAGAAGGCAACTGATTTTGCATCCCTTCGCACTGCAGGTTGCTTCTTCCTTGTGACTAAAGGCTTCATCCAAGCTCAGCTTGTCCAGAAAGGATTCTCTTCAGACAGAGTCTTCACGGCCACACTCTCGCTAGCTGACGGCTTAGTGGGTAGCCAGGAACCACGTGCCGTGACTATTGTAAACTGTGGTCAACATCAAGTAGACTGGGTCTCCGAGGCCGAGCCCATGACAGAGGTTGAGATCTCGTGCATTCAGCGCTTCCCGGTTTTTGCGGAACTTCGCCAATCCCAAGCTCGAGAACAGGATTGGACTGACCTGTCCGGAAGTGACAGGTTTGAAGAATACATTCGGCAAACCTTGGTTGCTTGCAAATGCTTTGACCAGTCCATCCTCCACAAGACCTTTGAGCGGCAAGGTTACATTGCGCGCCGCGTCATGGTGCCTGTGGAAGCCCGTGATGCCCTCTACCATCGCAGTGGCCTTCAATCTATCCAATTTCGTCCCATTCGGCAACCTGATGATCCTCCCGAGCAAGGACTTGAACTATTGAAGATGAGCTCAGACCTTAGCCTGGCAGACTTGGCTACCAAGCATCGAGCTCAAGCTGGCAATCTTGGCTTTTTCCAAACGGGTAAAGCCATCTACTTCAGATCCACCGATCAGGAGCTTGTCAACAACAGGAAGTTCTTCTACAAGAATGACCCCAAATGGATCGATAGCAATTGGGCCACAAAAGCCCTTCACAACTTCAAAGTGATGGGTTTTCCCAGTGGGATCACATCGAGAGAAGTGAGCCTTACCTTCAAGGAGCTAGGCGTCGATGTGATCCCGTTACAGCAGTATCACTTCAAAGAGCTGTCCATGATCTATGTGGCTACCGACACAGAGCCCGTCCATTGGAAGTTTTCCACGTCGGTTGGCAACATTCACTTGTCCCGGCCCGAGGCAAGGAAGCAAGTTCCCAAAGAAATCAGGCAGCAAAGTGTCAAGGGTCCAGCCCCTGCCAAGCCGCAGGTGTTGCCACGCCAACCATCGGTCCCCAAGAGCCCGAAAGAATGGATCACTCCGCAACAAGTATCTCCGGCCTCAAGCACGGCTCCCAGCACTTCCTCTTCATCGGCACCTTCTACATCACTTTCTTCCAGAGTGACATCTTTGGAAAAGCGGCTGGGCATTCTGGAAACAAATCAGACCTCTCTGTCCGACAGGATGGACAAGGGATTTCACGATCTCTTGACTGCAATTTCCGGACTTCAAGGTGCATCCCAGAGCGGGACGCCCGTCAAGTCACCAGCCCGCAAAGCTCCAAAGGTCTAAGTCGTGAGGTGAGAGAGGCTAGTTCGCACTTGAGAGTGACTGTGGCCGGCTGGTGCGCTGGTTTGTTATGGTGGACTTTTTGGTGCTACGCTTTCCTTGCGTTTGCTTTGGTTCGTTCTTTCCATGTGTGTTTTCTCGTTTGGGCTATTACTTTGAAGGCTCTCATCTACTGGAAGACTCGCAGAAGTGTTTCCTCACAGCCTGCCAGCGCTCGGGCCAGAATTCGCCGAAGAGTAGTCACGTATTGTCGAGCCTGCACGTTCATTTTCTTAATTCATTCAGCTGCTTGCGGGCCGCCCGGCTCCTTGAGCCATCATGAGGAGGTCTTCCAAGCAGGCGGTGGAGTTTTCCATCAAACAGCTTCACATGCATCTT